GCTCTTCCGTGCTCCAATTATTTGCCCGCGTGAGCTGTTACGGCGAACGCCGGGGTTCGAGAGATTATTTCTTGCGTTGCACTTTAATCCTTCGAGCCTTTCTCTGTTCCACGTGCAATAAAGTTCTCTTATAGGATTGAGAGCACGCACTCGATCAAAGAAACGTTCGTTTCAAACGTCCTTCCATGCGCGATGATTTTCTCCTCTATTCTCATCCTCCTTTTTTCTCCCATTCCTTTCCCCTGTTCTCTCTCTCTCTCTCTCTCTCTCTCTCTCTCTCTCTCTCTCTCTGTCTCTTCTATTTTCTCTTTCTTCTCTCTCATCTATTAATTTAACTCACGCTAGAAGCACGCGTGGTATTCGCGATAACAATTAAAAGCAGATAACCGTGCACTCATCAGTTTTATACCAAGTGTCGGTGATTGCAAAGCTTGCCGGACATCCGGTCAAGTGACGATCGAGCTCGGAGAACGGCTCGTCTTTGCGATAAATGTGAGCCTCACGACAACGAGCAATCTCGTTCTCGCCGTTTTAATCTCCCGTAAATTGCGAAAGCAGAAAGACAGACGAGAATAATTGTTGAATAATGGCGCATTTTTTTTGTCTTGTTTCAATCACTTCAGTGTTCACCAGCAGAGCGCTGTATAGGACATTCTGTATTTCCTTTGAGAAATGCATTCTTTAATTGTTAAGTACTGACGCAGTAACTCAATTAAGATATTGAATATCAAAGGTTACGTAAAAGAATATCTCGGCTGTTCCGTGATTTCTACTGTGATTAATACTCGATGTACTTCGAAATAATTCTTTCAATTAATAACCATCTAATTTTACGAAAACTTCACATGATTTCACTATCAATAACCCTTAAAATTTAATAAAATTGACATTACTTTTTTTGATTGATGACATCAGCTTTACTAAGTTTCAGATCATAAGCTATTGAAAGTAAAAAGTTAGGAAAAATGAACGCTTCGGTACTTCGCTCGTCGAGTGATTTCACGTCTCGCGACGGAAAGTCTACGACTATATAAACCGGTTGGAAAAACGAGACTTGGATTAAAGTAACTTCGTCAGAAAGTGCAAAGAAGACCGTTGGATAAGAGAGATAGGAGAGATTCTCTCGTGAAGAAGGACAGCGGATTTCACGGTTCGCATCTTTCATCTGTGTTAACGCGCGTTTCTGCGTAGATGTGTGTGTGTGTGTGTGTGTGTGTGTGTGTGTGTGCAAAATAAAATATTCCTTTCTTTCACACACGGGTGCCGGAATAAATGGATGATACGTACAAACAGCACCACGTTGTAAATATGGAGAACGTATTTCAAGAAATTCACGGAACAGCAGCCGTCATCCCTGGTCCTAAGTCTGGTAGAAGTACCGGGTAATCTCTCAGCGCTTTTGGCCATTTTCAGTCAATTGTTGGGCTGCGTGCGTCACAGTCCTCGTTGTCACCTGGTTGCCGTTGCTGTAAAACAGAAATGACACAAAATGTCAGAGAAGAAAAGAGAAAAATTCGCCTTAAGAGATAGACAAAAAGTTTCTGAGAAAAGATGAAAATGGATTCAGGTTTTGCATTAAATATCAGGTGTAGTAAAAAGAAATCCATTATTTTTACTACACCTAATATATATGTGTATATAAATTGTATATACATATATGGATGTGATGCATGCAATTAAATAAGTATAATGAACAAAATGTATGTCCTTAAAAAGTAATTAAAAAAGTATAAGGCGTTAAGTAGTGATACAGCTAAGAAACTTTCGCGAGGTTACTTTTACGCAGCGTGAGATAAAATAAAAATAAAAAAACAGTTTACGACTGCCTAAGGAAGCGTTTAAGAAAGTAATCAACAAGTTTTCGACCGTCTATTGCCCAAGAAAGTAATCAACGAGCTTTAGTTTCAATGTCGGAATCTTCGTTACTGCTTGCTTATACTTGCTTGGACAATGGATGAACTTAAAGCTCTTCTTGTTCCAGTTCGACGTAAACTTTGTCGGAACAACATCAGTGCGACTTCACGGATCAACAGTGGCTCGAAAGGTTCCATTGTAAAATGTATTAACGTAACCGAAAAATCATCTCTTTTTGATCTTGATCTTCAAAAAATCTTCAAAAATTTAATCGTTCAAAAAATTTCCATATCTATTCTCGTGAAATACACTTTTCAGCAATAAAGGGATATAATCATAATTTGATCATACAGATTCGCATGTCACTGTCTACAGACGACAGTTAACAAAAATCGCGAAAAGATTTCTTGTTCAGGCAATTTATAGTGTGCGCCGGAATTGCATTCGGAAAACGCCTTTCTTTGAAAGCAACTCTCACCTTTAGACGACAGACGTTGAAGCGCTTCTTCCTCTGCGAAGGAGCGAGTTAAGTTTAATGTCGTTAGAATTCAGAAGAGCAAGGAATGCTCCGCTTGCCGTCGTTATATCGCGGATGCTGGCAAAGATATCGGAAAATTGACGTAATTCGATAATCGCGTACTCGATGGACCTCGATGGCCAGATATGTATGTGTGTAGCGTATATCGCAGATAAGAAGGTATGATCGGCGACGTAGGACATTGATCGAGTATCGAGAGAGTAATTTTCGCGTCGGTTCGAAGCGAAAGCAGCGCACTTTGGCACGAGCCCAAGCAAAGACGATTCATAGATTTTGATCTAAGGGATCAGGGTTAGCCACAAGGGACCACCGTCACCTATTTTTCCGTTATATGAACAGCTTTACTTACACGAGCGAACTTATATTAACTTCAGGTGGATTCTTGAAGTTGCGACATTCTCAAAATAAACGATTCACGCAATTTTTTTCAGATTTCTTCGATTCGTGTTCCAACCAAAAGAGAGAATAAACCTTTTTTCCTCGATATTAGCAGTCACTTGAATTATAGTACAAATGGCGAAATAGTAAAAAGAGAGCCTCAGTTATATCCAATGGGTCTAATCTTGGATTTGGCACATAATGTCGTTTTACATTGCCAAGAAATGTGAAGGCCCACCTACGCTCTAATGCATCACATCCTCTATCTCCGCTTTTCCCCTTGCCATCTTTTCCGCGATTCTTTCGTATGCATACGAGAGTCGCATTCCATGTAAGAATGCACGAGAACGCCAAGTATTTTGCTGCACGAAAAGCTGACACGACAGATTGCATGGGATATTTCAGTTCTTTGCACGTGTAACGATTATACCCGCATTGAAAAAGCAGTGAGATAAAATTGAACATGTCGAAACGACGTCGTTAAATATCTTTTTGTATTCTAGATGATAGAACTTGATATCTAATAACCTGGTAATTTATAGGGGAGAGGTACGCCGAATGCGTATCACTTATTTTTTATTATATTTCTTATTTGATATCTGATTTGTATGCAAATAAATGGAAATTGTAGCTTGATATTCATGTACTTATATTTTTCACCAATAATAAATTAGTTTATTATGAGCCTTTTCGTATTGTAATAAAGATACGATTTTGGCAATTGATCGTGGGTCTATCAAATTATATTATTTTTAAAAGTATCGAATTTATGAATATAAAAATAATGGAAGATATAATAAAAATTAATAAAAATAATCATTAACTCATCAAAGTAACATTAATATTCATTTTATTAAACATTTATCAAAGGAAAAGATCAAATATTTAGAAATTGATAAAGAACAATAATGAAAAAATAAGCGCCGAAGTAAAACCGATTTGAATTTATTTTTGAATTGCAATATTGACACATTTTTATTCATATCAATTAATTTTACTATTATCAATTATATATTATCAGTACATTTATTATAATAAAATGTGATATGATACGATTTAGGAAACTTGCGAACGATAGATTTTCTAAAAACATCGATTTAATTTTTATAATAATTGCAAATATGTACATACAATAAATGTAACATATTGTGCAATAAATCTTGTTTTGTGAAAATAAAAAATAAAAATTCAGAATAAAAATTGCATGACAATATTATCAACTACACAATTGATCAAAAATTAATCTGATTTTTTAAGTATTATTTAGCATGCACAAAACAGGATGTAACTGTTAAATATTATGCACTTTTCATTTATTTCATATTTTTCATATTTTTGTCACTCGGCATTAAATTGCTTATATTAGGAAAAAATATAAAATTGATGAAGTACAATTTATGCGACCGGTATAACGCATTCAGCAACTCTCCCCTGTATAATTTAGTAATCTATTTATCGCATTATCCCCTCATTTAAATATGCTTATTACTGCATATTATAACTTTCCAATTTTTTTCGGAATTTGATGTTAGGTTATTGTAAAGGAATATTAATTCGTAATTTGATTATAGCGTCGCACTGTTCTGTGAATTTCGATCCGGTGCAAGACTACAATTCGGCAGAGGAAAATTGCATTTGTTGTGGTCACAACTCCTATTCGTACGTGACTTGTATATCGAACGAAAATACATAGCAACCACTCGATCTTCTCGATCGACACACACGTTGTGTACAAGGAATCTTCTAAATAGTATAAAAGAAGAATAAAAATCTTGTATAGTGGAAAACAAGTCTTTTTATAGACTTTCTAGCTAAGTATACATGCATTTTCTCGAAACATTAATCAAGTCTCTTTGGAATTTTAAATTAATACATTTAAATGAAATACTATTAAGATGTGGAAGAAAAATGTAGAACATTTTTATGCAATCAGGTAGAATATTTGTATCCTCATAAATTCTACAAAACTGTCATATCAAGTATCGTTTAATGAAAATCGAGAATCTGTTATCTTGCATGATCGCATCATTTGACAGTGTCTAATAAGAAGTCAGAGGAAAATAGCGACTGCCTCTTTCTTGTTTCGAGCAGTCTCTCTCTCTCTCTCTCTCTCGGCCAACAAGAGCGATGAGAGCGTGAAGGATAAATGGCGTATAATGAGGACCAGAAGGGAGCAATGCGCGCGGATCACGTCGGGGATTGGTAGGTGGTGGATGGAGAGCGGAAGACAGAGGTGATTACAGCGACGGGCGAAGAAACCTGAGAAGAAGAGATGAAAGAAGAGAAACCGCGAAATTAAATGGGTGTGACCCGTTCTGCGTGTGGGCGAGGCTGTTCTGAGGTGCACGAGTAGAAAACTTCTCCGACGTGTGTACGAATAAATTTTTCTCTCCGCCGAGTGCAAGGTCAAAGCTTTTAGTCGCAGGTTCGATGCACCGCGATTATTGACCTCCTAAAGTTTGTCAGTTATCCTCCCGCTCAATTACATAATACGCAAACATATCCCCAATCAAATAAAATATCGATGATATATATTTTAACAAATAATTTGTTAAAATTCCTTTTTCGAGAGGGATATAATGTATATATATTTCTTTATGCAATATCGTATATTACGAAAACGCGCAATTTAACTTGAATGCGCAGATAGCCAATTTTCAAAAAAGCACCGCACAGGAATACATAAATATGCAAATTGCCGTTATCGATTCACCGAGAAACGTATACATATACATATACATTTTGTGATAATCAAGCAAAATGAATTCTGATTGATGATGTTAATTTAATCGGTTAAATTAATGTACAGTGTTGAATTCCGTGCAAATGATGTAATGTTTATCTCGAATTTTCACTGTTATCGCGTTTTATTTCGATTTTCTCACAGATGTGCTCGTTATTGCAGAATCCCACGTCGTTATCGATACTATTATACCTTCTTCTCGAGCAACACGATGATCATTGATCGCGCATAAAAACGATTAAATCGACGTAGGTACCAAGTACGCGCTCCAGCCAGGAGTAGCCTGCGCAATTTTAACAGATTCGTTATCCACTTCCGGTTCAGAGGAGCGCATTAATTCGCGCTATGGAAATTTCGCTGCTCGCGTCGTTACTCCGATGAGAGGGGTACGGGGTTGCAAAGTTCCCTGGAAATATCGTCCATTATCCCCGATGCTTTCCGCAGAAAATACAGACGTGAATCAGGACACAACAGTGTAAACAACTTCGCGGCTTTTCACGTCGGAAAACACATACTCCGTTCGCTAACGCAAAAAAAAAAAAAAAAAAAAAAATATCGCGGCTACGAAAAATACATCGTGCATTCATCGCTCAAGCGGTTGTATTATATCTACATATCTATATATAATATCTATACTTTAAGATTGTAACTATCATAATGTTATCTTTGCCAATAGGGGTGTTAATATATTCGTTCACAGAATAAATTGGATAAACCGAAAATTTTCGATATAGAATATTATCATAATGTCTTGCTATTTTAGAAATATGAATGAATATCGAATACATTGATTCTAAAAATAATATAATAAGCAGCTATTAGCCATCAAAGTTGCAATAATAAAAAAAAAACGCGTCATATTGAAACGGAATTTGCAGAACGAATAGATCATAAAGAATATAAAAAAGTAAATTATATTTTTAATGGAAATATTGGATTAGTAAATAAGTTTA